GTTGTTGTTGTTATGTGCCCTCGAGTCAGACCTGAGTCATAGTGACCCCTCGTTGGGTTTCTGAGTTAGTATCACTACAAAAGTAGATTGCCCAACCTTCCTTCCGAGGAGTGGCTGGTGGATTTGAACTGCCAGCCTTCTGGTTAGCAGTCAAGTGCCTTAGGCACTACGCTGCCAGAGCTTATCTTTAATATGATCTAAAAATATACACAGAATTTAAAACACGGTTAATTAATGCAGAACTTCCCTCATAGAGCCTAATAATATTCCCCCAGACCCAGAATGTAGAAATTGTGATTTCTTCTCTCATGAGATCAAAGATACCATAAAGGGCTCTGCTTACCCTCCAGCCCATTTAAGCCTCAGATTTCAGAGGTCAGCGTGAGGGTACAATGTAGGGATGACCCTGCCTGTCAAGCCATTGGCCGAGTTTAAAATATAAAACTACCCAATGATTTTGATGGACTGCCTCTTTCCAGTGACATCCGTCACACTTTATTTTTGGTTGGTTTGTGTACCAGAGGCTGTGTTTTTGTGTATTTATACAGCATCTTTCTGTGGAGTATGTGTTCTGGTTCTAAACAATGACAGCCACTTTTTCTTTTCATCTTTCAGATCAGCAAACTGAGAATTAAACTGAAGGGCTAGTATTCCCAAATCCGTTCCAGGTACCCTGGGAAAGAAGGGAACACACTTAGCACATTGCCATCTCCATTGAGTTCTTCTAAAGTTACGTGAAAAATAATACTGAAGTCGAAGGGAGGACTTAGAGTCATTATTTTTGTGCTGAGTATGGAAAAAAAAAGGATAGTTAAAATTCACACATTTCTTTATGTAGAATCATTTTCACATAACCAGGGTTGAGACCCTGATTTTAAAAATGTATCCAGAAAATAAAATGTTATTTATGATAACCTAGGCTGCACACACATGCTGCAGATTTACTTAGGATTTTACTTAAATTGTGTTTCCATAGGAAAAAAAAAATTCATTTTATCCTCATTCTGCATTTTTAGTGACACTCTTGACGACTTCAATCTGATCTGCCCCATCGTTTTTTAGCTTACAAAAGCACTCGAACAAATATTGGTAAGTGGATAAACAATAATGTCTAATGTTTGTATAGCTTGTGTACTACTTTCACGTACACTACTAATCTTACTTGACAAATTATTAATTGTCTCATTGTTCATGGAAAGTTTGACATTTTACAGTTTTTTCCTAGTATCTTTGTTCCTACCATTGGCAATTCCTTGTTCCTGTCTTTTATATCCTTAAAATAGTAAGAAACCAAAATCCTGAAGCTGAATTTTCCCAGGTTGTGAGTATCGTACCTAAATACACTCACAGATGTAACTAACAAACAACTATAGCCGAGGACCAAAATTAACTGAGTGTGAGAAAGGACAGCAGAATAAGTGGCAATTATCCTTCTGGCACCTTTCTACCAAAGAGGCACCAAACCACATAGAATATGTAAGAATGAAATGAGACTGAAGCTGTGACCCCGTTTTCTCCCTAAAATACCCTCATTCTCGGGCAGTCTGACTTCTTAGACTCTTCTCAGGCCAGCACAAAGTGTTGGGTAATCAGTTATAATTTAAATGATTTTAAGTAAGAATGATTGAAAGACGTAAGAACAGAAAGAAAAAGTCCTAAATATCACCTAAACACAAGGAAAGAATGATTGGAAGCCTGAAAATTAACCACTCTAATCTCTCCTAGATATTAGCTTCTGTTCAAAGTTGAGAAATAGTTTTAAATGATCAGGGAGGGACAAACTAGCCATTCAAAATGCACATACAGCAAACGCACATTACCCCCGCATTGAATTCTATATAAAAGGTTTGTATGCTGAGCGTTTTTCAGAAGTGGGCTATATTTACTCTTTAAGAATACTGGCTAATAAAACTGAAATAACCATGCAGCATTAAATACCTAATTTGAACTTTAACTTTCATCTTTAGTTTTATTCAAAATTCCTAACTTGTCTGAACTCTAAAAGAGGACTCAACAGAAGATGACTCCCAGTTGCCTTCACCATTAAAAGTTAATGGAATTTTAGGTAAGGCCCAACTTGCAAAGTCATAGCTTCCCTATAACAAACATATTTCCTCACTAACAACTGGTTGGGACCTATGACAATCTTTCTCACCTTATACACCTAGAGCAGTTTTATTTATTACATATGGATTACATTTTTATAATATTTCTTCTTACACAGGTGTAACTGCATTGGTCAATGAAAGACGGTCACCATAGTGTCTGAATGCCAAATGACATGGACCTCAGAGAAGTTCTCTGTACGTTCCAGCCGGACACTCAGGTGGGTGATGCGTGTATGACACCATTTTATAAATGGAGAAGTTGGGGATCAGAAGTAGCAAAGATTAGCCTAACTAACCTGAAAACACCAGCCTGATTCATAGGGGAAAAGTAAAGACAATCATATCAGCGTTTTGGTTTGTGTAGATAAAGCAACCAGCCACTTGCCTGAATTTTTCATTTTCTATTAAATATAGCATTTTAGGCCAGTAGATCAAACTTCAAACTTAATCACAGACCACAGTAAGAATTATATTCTACATCACAATTAACACACAGGAACATGCATAATTGAAACAAATTTGCACAAAACAAAACTTACTAAATATCATGCATTGTTATTTTCTATTATGTTTCTTTCTGTGGTATTCCTTTATATATTAAAAGGAAAAAAAAAAAAACTATTCTAGACTTAATAAACTGATTTCATGACCCAGTGGGTCATGACAAGCAGTTTGAAAAGTATCCCTTTTCAGCCCTTAAAACTCTGGAAAACTACTTCAGAAAACTAAAGGTTGCTAAGAGTTTATTCAATTGTTTTATGTTCACCTAGAGTATTGAAACAGGAAAACGGGGAGGGAAAAAATATTTTTAAACATCCATCTATTTGAAACAACACTTGAATAGACCCTTCTTCTCTGGGTAAAAAGAAGCAGAATTCAAACAAAAGAGGAAGGATTTTTTGGAAAATAAGCGGCAAAGGGAAAATCATTCTATGACTGAATTTCCACACAGAATGCAATCTGTATGGATTTTCTTTTTAACTTTATTTAAAGTTCCTTGTCATTTTTAAAAATTATTGTTCTGAAAGAATTTGAACATCACTTAATGATAAAAGTTTAAGATGGGGCATATTACAGTGGTATTATTTGCCACTGGGATGATGAGCAAGTTTGAATGAAACGTGGTCCCTTTTTATTTGACCATGCTCACTTTGTAATTATCACCAAGGCAGTAAATAATCCACGAGAAGCAGCCTCATTAGTGCCCATTGAAATTCAGTGCCATTAATTTGCAATAAAAGAACTGAAAATTAAATGGAAAAGAAAATAGTTTCCGGAGTCCACCATAAGGTTATGGATTTCACATCATACCAGTGCCTTGCTTCCCATCAAACGGGTTTAAAACACTGTGTGAATAACACTTAATCGCTGTATTTTGTTCTTCCCTATTGAAAAAATAATAATAATAATAAGTGGGCAGAAGAAATCTTTTTTCTCTTTTGATGTTAACTCTAAATTAATACAAGTGAAATTAACTTGAAATATTTCAACTTTTTCAAGGTGTCTGCATTGTTTGTCTTGTAAGTAATGCTTCAGGTTGGACCTGCTTGGCTATGGGATGCCCTAAGTCCCTTTGAAGGGGCTGGAGGTGTATGTTCAGATTCCCCAAGAGTTCACCCTTCAGTACCCGCTGGGGCCACCCTGCACCTTAGTCCTGTCTCCCCTGCTATAAATATCTCTGGAAATAGAATACTGACCAGAAAATGGTCCAGGGCTTGCAGGGAAGAGAGGCTGGAAGACACAAGAGGCAAGGCCAGACACCAGAGCAGAGCGCACAGTCAGTCCGGAAGCGCCTAACTCAGCACCAGCCACTTGGGAGCCCGCGTCTCCCGAACCCACTCCTGCTGGAAAGCCAAAGCCACAGGCACCTAAGCCTTCCTACAGTCCCAGCCAGGAGAGGAAGGGGAAACTTTCAAAGGGCAAAAAGGATGGAAAGGAAAGAGGGAATGATCTATGCTTAAAAAAATTGAGAACACAGAGCATGCACCAGTGAAATCACGGAAGTGTCCTCAACTGTCCTGGCTGCCATCGCGACTGGCAGTCGCAGCCCTGAGCTGACCTGCATGCCACTCCAGCCTTTTCTGCCTGGTAGGCCAGACGTGGGAGTAAGCGGGCAGGGGTAATTTCAAAGCACTCGTGCTTCGATGTGGCATGGTGTAAACTCACAGGACACCTATAAATTTCCGGCTGTCAGAAGCCACCTGCCAGCAGTCTGCTCCAACACGCACTCAGCCAGGTAACTCAGAACTCAGAACTTGCTGAGGCTCATTCAACGCGGCGCTCGCACTTGGAGCCTGGCAACTGCGCCCGGGCGCTCTCCCACGTGGGATGGGAGGGGGCCCACGGGCACCGCAATCTCTAATAACAACAATCCGGATAATAAAAGCGTGCATAGTTCCAATCCGACATTCGCGATGAGAGGAAAATTTTAAAGAAAATTCCAAAATAATAATCATAGTAATAAATAAATGAAGAGTCTCCGGAGCTCCGCTAACCCCAAACACCTCCGGTCCTAAATACCAAAGCGGGACATGGGCGAGGGACTCAAAGCACCTAGTGTTCCTTGGCCTTGGGGTGTTTCCCCCCACAAATAACTGCTGCTTTGTCCGCTTTTCCAGCCCGGGTTTGGTGAGGAGGCGCGCGGCAGGGGCTGGAGAGCCAGCTTGTGGGGGTGTTTGTCGCTGGAGCTGTGCACCAGGAGAACTTAACTCCG